AACAGCGCTGTTGCCATGACAACAGCATCAACAGTAAACGCACAGACAACAGCAGCAGCAACAACAGCAACAACAACAACAACAACAACAGCAGCAGCTCTAGGCAAACCAAAACTGAACGAAACGGCGACGGCAGCAACAATAGCAAAAACAGCGGCAGCAACAGCGACAACAGCACCAAAAATAAATGCCGGGCAAGCAGCCAAGTCACCTGAACAACAACAGCAGGCAACAGCAGTGGCGGCAACGGCAGCAGCGGCAGCGCCAGCGGCGGCAGCAACGAAAATAAATAAAACGCATAATAATGAGCGACAGCAGCAACCACCAGACAACGCAACAGCAACAACAGCAGCAGCAGCAACAACAATTGCAACTGCAGGGAAACAACAAACGGAAACCAAATCGAAATTGACGGAAATTGCTGAGCCAAAGTCAAAGGTGCAATCACCGAAAGCGACAAAGCCAAAAACAGCTGCAACAGCAGCCAAAAAGAAAGTCGCAGCTACTCCCACAGCAGCAGCAGCACCAATAGCAGCAGCAGCAGCAGCAGCAGCAACAACTCTGCCAGACAGCAATGTGACCCCAATCAATGCCGATCAATTTATAACGCTGGCCCCCACTAAGGCGGCCAATGCGGCGGCAGCGGCCACAAATGCGTCATCGCCTGCAGCAGCAGCGGCAGCAGCAGCAACGGCAGCAATTGCAACCGCCGCAACAGCAGCAACGCCTACAACAACAGAAGCGGCAACAGCAACAGCAACATCAACAGCAACATCAACAGCAGCAATAACAATAGCAACAACTGGCGATGAGCAAACGTCGCAGTTACGAGCTGTTGCTGCTGCTACGACAGCGACGGCTGCTGCGGCTGCTGTTGTCGACAGCAGCAACAACAGCTGCGGCGAAGGCGTCGGCAATAATTTATCAAAGTTTGCAACAGTATCGAATTTGGCACAGTGTCTGCGAGACGTGGACGCCGAGCTAGAGGACTATATACCGTCGTCGGCGGAAAGCAGCGAAGAGAGCGACACAGACAGCTCGGGCGATTTGTCCAGCGCGAATTTGAGTGCCAGCATGAAGAAGAAACAGCGCAAGGAGAAGAAGAAACAGAAGGGCAAGGATGCGGCGCCCGCACGCTTCGATCCGCAGAAGAAAATCAAAATCGATACGAGCAGCAAGTGCTATGTGAAGGAGGAGGCGCCACGATATCCGCTGGTGGCCACACCACGTCCGCTGTGGAAGCGCGAGAAGATCGTCTACTCCGATGAGAATACGGACGACGAGAGCAGCGAGGAGGGCAGCGAGGCGACCGGCGGCTCACTGGACGAGGAGAGCGACGAGGATGACAGCGATGCCTGCAGCAGCAGCAGCAGCACCAGCTCCTCCGACTTTGACGAGGAGGCGGCCAGAGCAACTGAGAAACGCAACACAAATGCCCCAGCATCCAATATAAATAATAATAATAATAATAATAAGAATGCTTCGACGCCAGCGAGCAGCTCGACCACAGCGCCGGGCAGCCCGTCCGTCTCCAGCTCCCCATCAATCATCCGGATGAGCACGTGCAGCAATGATTCCGGCTTCGAGGGCGGCACGGCGCCGTCCAGCCCCAAAAAGATGTTAGGTAAGCGATCGAGCGAATATCACTTCGACTGAGACGGCATTCATCGCAGCTGACTCGACCCGGACAGACGGCCGGCGGTGTTGGCCATTTGAGTGTAGAGCTGCACGTGCCACTGCACCACCCACAAGTAAACCACCCACCCACACACATACACATCGCTATGGCCCCCCTGCCCCACAGTTGCTGCTGCTGATGCTTCTTAGAGCTTGTTGTGCATGCAATTTGCTTTCATTTTCACAAAGAGCGTGAGAGTGAGTGAGTGAGAGGGTGAGTGAGTGAGAGAGCGAGTGGGAGAGTGAGAGTGCGAGCGAGAGTGCGAGAGAGCTTGGCATGCGGAATATTTAGTTGAAAAACAAATAAACATGCTATAAATCTGTGTAGCTGCGTATATACAAAAATGCCTTTAATATGGCCACAATATACTATACACTTGTACAGAGACAAATACATACATACATACATACATATATATATACGAATGGGAAAACAACGAAAGTTGAAAAACAAACTTTGCTCCGCTGACTCTTAACACACTCAAACAGTCAGCGCCAAAGGAAGTCAAAGTCAAAGTTCCAGGGAAAACCAAATACAAATGCTGTGCTTAGACCTGGTTCCAGCTAATTTGATATAAGTACTACCAAAGTGCTATATATGTGCGATACATATATGCGTGTATATAGTCTGCTCATATATGTGTACGCACATATATACATGTCTATCTAGTCCCATGCATAGCTGACAGATATCGACTTTTCGTGCAGGGAATTTTATTTTGAAACATTTTCTTAGAAATATCATCAAAATATTGTCAATATTTATTTACTTTTTATGATCTGTGTAGCTTTTTATGCCTTACTAAATAGCTACAGCTAAAGAATATCTGATGCTAGATTATAATTTCCTGTAGAGCAGCCTCGTCGATCTAATCGAACTTGACATTTTAGAACTTCATCTAATCGAACTCTAATTAGACTATGCATCTGATTGGCTGCCTAATCAGAAGGAGTAAACTGAGGAGGCAAAAAGTAATAAATACCTCTAAGGCTTCGTAGTCTCCTGAACATTCTTGTGTAAAGTCTGATAGCCGAGTCTATGCGCCAAACTAAAGATCTTACCTGAAAACCCTTTGAGGCAGGCTATAGAACTTGCCTAAATGATCTAATCATCTCATCTCTATAAGCATAACACAATCTGACTGCATTATAAGTCTGTTCAGCTGGCTAACCAGCAGGAGCTGAGGGAGCACCAGAAGTAACAGGCATCCTGTCCAGTCAACGCGTGAGTTCCTATAGCCAAGCCAAGCAACCTATAGACCTTATCTGAAAGATCTGGTGCTCTAATCAGGTCAATATGAGATATCAGCTTAAGCGCTTGACTGATTGAACTAACTGAAATCTAATTGGATTATGAATCTGAGTAGCTGGCCAAGCAGCAGGAGGCGAAAGAGCGCCAGGAGTAAAGGGTCCAAGGCTGACCATTCATGTGTAATAGGAATAGGTGTGAGAAGTCTCAAAACCTCTTAGAGAGTGCACTTAAGAGGCAAGGAGTTGGTTCCAGTCTCCTTATCGCTGCTCCCTGCCCTCGAAATGAAACAGATCTAAGCTGCTCATTAGCCTATTATGCCTTACTATGTCTCATCTTATTATGAAACCTAATAACATATGTAGTTAACATTCTGTTAACTCTTGGCTCTCCAAAGATGCCCAACATATATATATTTATATAATTTGGTTGAATCAGCTCGTTACTCAGTAGCAAACAATTGTGTTGAGAATTCGCTAGCACAATGTGGAACTAGAGAGCGAACAGCTAAAAGATGCAACCACAGCCACAGCTACAGAGATAGAGATAGAGATAGAGATATAGCTACAAAGATACCAAGAGACAGACAATTTGGCAAATTTACTTTTAGCAAATTGTATACAAAATTGTTTAGGTCATCGTCGTGTTCCGTCGTCGTTTTTTTTTTTTTTTTTTTTTTTTTTTTGTTTTCTCGGGATCTGTCGTTGTCTTTCATCTTATGTTTTTTTTTTCTGTTTGCTCTCAAGTTAACGAGAAACTGAATTCTCATGCAGGGAAAACACAAGAAAACATTTGAAATATGCTCGAACATTTCGTACAGTAAATGCAACAATTACCGAAAGCAAAAGTTTCATAAAAATTTTAAATAAATGCGAAACATGTAAACAAAGACTTTCCAAATATTTGCAATACCAAATTCAAATATCCATTCTATCTATATGTGTCTTAGCCATAGCTATAGATATCGAAAGTGTGAAAAGAATACGCATTTGGCTACGTCGAGGACTCGCCCAACCCCTGAATACCCTGCAAAGAGAAGGAAATACTCATAGACCACTATATGAGAATGTGAAATAGGAAACTGTTTTTATTTTTCCTATGCCATATTACTTCCTTATTTATTTTCCACATAGTTCCCATTGCTTTCTGGTTCGAAATTGATTTGAGTTCAAAAAGCTGTAAAAAAGGAAACAAGAAAATTCTCCGTATTCAAGATGATCCGTGGCGCTTTAACTACACGAATTTTCTTCAATGTTTTGGTCAAGTTCAATAATCAATATAGCACAAGTTGAGTATTCTTCTATCATATGTAGCTGCCCTAGCAGGCAATCAGCTGTTCGAGTCTCTCCCTCTCTCTCTTGCTCTCGCACGTCCGCAACACGCTGCGTATGCGTGATATTTGCATAAAATCATCGTCTCTTGCGTTGATTCGTTTACAATTTCATGTGATTGCATGCAAATATTTGCAAATATTTGTTGTTTATTAAATGAACATTAAGCAAGCACACAACACAACACACGCACACACACACACACACACGCATACGCACACCCTTTGGGTTGAAGCCAAAACGGATGTGCGTTTGATTTCAAATGCGATTCGAATGCTCTCTCGCGCGTGTGTGTACGTGTGCGTGTGTGTGTGTGTATTTCCTTTTGATAGAGTTCACAATTTGTATATTCAAAATCTGTTGGTGCTTACGCTTAGCTGTTTTTTAATTGCTGCCAAAGCATTTCATAAAAAACAAAGCCAAGTGCTTAAATTTGAGGCTAGTTGCTCAGGTGTTGGCCAAAGGTAAATCTTAGACCAGAAACGTGCAGCCAATAAATCGCAATTCAAATTAGCTCAATATAAACATATAAATATATATATATACACACATACATATATGTATTTATATATATATTCTATTCATCTACACGGTCGCAATTTATAATCATATTAATAACGATTTGTTTTAATTAATCTCAACATTTGCGCTGTCCATGCTGCCAAAAAATCAAAAATCGAAAAAAATACAAAAAAATTAAAACTGAAATGAAATTGAAATACTCAAAAAAAAAAAAAAAAAAGAATGTGACGTGAATTGTCACAAGAAATGCGAACGGCTCACGGCCAATTTATGCGGCGTCAATCAGAAGCTCATCGTCGAGGCGCTCAATCACGTAAAGCGAGGTAAAAAAAACATAAGACAACAATGCCAACAACAACAACATTAAAAAACATAAAACATTCCATAAATAATAAACAATAAAGGAAGTTCTTAGCTACGGCAGGTCGAAGCTCGAATACTCTTGCAGGGAAATCAATAGATGTCGCATGATTTGAATAGGTATATAGTTAGCTAAATATATAGAAGAATCCATAATTATATCTATCCATATACATGTACGTATATTTCATACAGCATCCATTCCAATCAGAAACAAAATTAGAAACAGATTTTCAAAATTCATATTTGATTAATGTTAACAAATTAGTTTTTCAGCTCAAACAAGATTCGCCCCATGACCATTTCTATGTCAACTATATATATTATACATGTCAATGATATATTAGCTTTATATAGTCCATAATCACATAGTTCGACTGAAGAGTAGTTTCCTCCGAAATTTTCGTTTTCTTTAAACAGAAAATTTTTGCATTTCCATTCAATTCCTCTAGCAAGTTTATGCTATATATAATATTCATTCTGTCCGATCGAATGCTGGAAGGGAAATATAAATTATACTTAGTTATATCCATATAGATATACATATGTATATATCTATTAATTTCCCAAAATTGAAATGCCTTCCACAAGAGTATAAAGACACCGCCTCGTATCGGAAGCGAGACGCGCCTCAGCCAGATGGGGGCGCGTGCGTTGCAAAGCAAACTGAAAGCGACAAGGAAAAACAACAACAAATCTAGAGAATATTTAAATGAAAATGAAAATGTAAAGGAAAATATTAAAAGAAAAATCCATAAATAATGGCGCTTAAATATGGCTGACATTACGATTTCATAACTGTCAAGGTGTGCGGGTGTGTGTGAAAGTTCAATAGATAAATTTACAAATAGAAGATAAAGCACATTTGCATGATAGGCGCTCTTGCTGGGGTATATATAGTATTAGTGATAGATACATGCATAATGAGATTGATAAATAGATACATAGATAGATATATAGATACATAGATACATAGATACATAGATATATAGATAAATAGATACATAAATACATAGATACATAGATACATAGATACATAGATACATAGATACATAGATACATAGATACATAGATACATAGATACATAGATACATAGATACATAGATACATAGATAGAAAGATTCATACACACAAACACACACACACCTACACACTAAGTGAATCGAGTGATATCGTATGCGTAACGGTATTTCTAACGCGTCCAACTTTGATCTCCTCCCCACATGAACTAGGCGCACGTGAGACACGAGACTCGCCGAGCACTCCGCCCAGCAGTAATCCTGCCTATAAGATAGATCCCAGCGATGAACACGATGGTAGGCCGAATCCAATCTAATCACTATGTTTAACACTAATCCAATGGCACTTTAACACGCAACGCCTTAACCTACATATGCATGTACATATTGTAGTAAATGCCACGCTGCTCAAGTGACCAACTGTCGGACACCGAACGGACTTAACTGTGGACGCGACAATCCCAACTTTTATACTTACCCTATATACTATATAAAGAACTCTCTCTTTCTACTTTATAATGTATTACAACTTTATTACTCACTCTCTGTATACATATATGTATATACACATGTGTATATATATCTATCGATCTGTCTATCGCTATCGGATACTTCTGGGATGTCGTACAGAAACATCATATACATATTCACAATTCCAAAAATCCGGACGTTTCACTGCGCCAGCAACAGTAATACCTAGATTTAAGAACTATTCGGTAGATGATTTTCATTTTCTGGCCGTGCTGGGCAAAGGCAGTTTTGGCAAGGTGAGTGATCAAATGAAAGAATTTCAGATCAACATGGAACTTACCCTCTTCCACGCTCTCCATCTCTCTCTCTTTCTCTCTCTCTCTGTCTATTTATCTCCCTCTCTGCAGGTTCTGTTGGCTGAGCTGCGTGATACGACATATTACTATGCCATCAAGTGCCTTAAGAAGGACGTGGTCCTTGAGGACGACGACGTTGACTCCACGCTAATCGAACGCAAGGTTTTGGCACTGGGCACCAAGCATCCGTATCTGTGCCATCTATTTTGCACATTTCAGACCGAGGTGAGTAGCGCCCTTGCAAGACAATGTCGCCAGCAAGGTCGATAGGTTGGTCATATACATATGGGGCTTTCTCGACTCGTGTAGGTAATACCCGCCATACGTATCCGAAAGATACGAAAATAAACAGCCTAAAGGTAAAACGTACTATTATTAGAGTACGCTCGCCCTCTCTCTTTCTCTCTAACTATCTCTGTGCATGTGTGTGTGTGTGTGTGTGTGTGTGTGTGCTTTGTTTCTATTTTGACCATCGATTGGGGCACACGACATGGCATATAGTCGACCGATCCGCGCAGCACGTAATTTGGCACGCACGTCCGGCACAGCGTTCGACAATGTTCTCTTAACATTTTGACCACGAAGCATTCAAAAACTTTCTAGTCGCATCCAAGCGACGGTGCAATACCCGTTCACAGTTCACAGATTATGAAAAGATTTGGATGAACAGGGCAGATCTCTTATCTCTTATCTCTTATATTTTTCAACTAAAGAATTCAACTGACATCTTCCATAACAGCTTTCCAGCTTGAAACCGCCTTACATTCTACAGTGGAACCCTTCCACATGGTCTAACTAAGCAGTGTTATCCCTAGCTGCTTCCAGATCCCACTTTTTCACCTTTTCCAACTTTCCCTTTCTGTCAACTGCAGCTATGGCTGTGTCATATATCCATATCTAATATATAATATAATCTATATAATATAACAAAATTCGCTCCAACTAATATACTTAGTCACGTTTTGTGAGCGGGCATAAAAAGCATATACTTATATGTATGTACTATATACAATAAAAACAAAACAGATTCAGTAAAAGCAAACAATAAGTTTTCTTTGTTTGCATTGACACCGATTAGAAGGTATTTTAATTATTTATGACTTTGAGGATACACGCCCATTTATTTTGGGAGCCTAGCGATACGCGCAGTGCACACCTTTAGCTAGTGCCAGTCAGCGAAAAATATGCCAATGCATCAAGGTGGAATGAGACACAGAAATTTGGAAATTTGAGAAAATTTTCTAAATAGAAAATAGAGAAAATAAAATATACAATATATATGTGGATAAAACACTTAGAAATAGGTTAACCACATCGTGCCTACGCTCTATATATTTCTATACATATATGTACATATATTGTATTGCTGAGTATATTTGCATATTTCTTTCGCTCTATCTCCCGCAGAGTCACTTGTTCTTTGTCATGGAGTATCTGAACGGCGGAGATCTCATGTTTCACATACAGGAGAGTGGACGCTTTTCGGAGGATCGTGCGCGATTCTATGGCGCCGAAATCATATCCGGCCTCAAGTTCTTGCATAAGAAGGGCATCATATACAGGTGAGCAATGCCAACTATCCATAAGTATATGCATACGAATTGAAACTCTCTTTTTCGCAGGGATCTCAAGTTGGATAACGTATTGCTCGACTATGAGGGCCATGTGCGTATTGCAGATTTTGGTATGTGTAAGTTGCAGATATACTTAGATAAGACGGCCGATAGCTTTTGTGGCACACCCGATTACATGGCGCCCGAAATCATCAAGGTGAGTTATCGATCAGTAAAGCGCCCTCGAACGATAACGATAACACTTGAATTTCCTATGCTTCCAGGGCGAAAAGTACAATCAGAATGTCGATTGGTGGTCATTCGGTGTGCTGCTCTACGAAATGCTCATTGGCCAATCGCCATTCAGTGGCTGCGATGAGGACGAATTGTTCTGGTCCATATGCAATGAAATTCCATGGTTTCCGGTCTACATATCAGCCGAGGCAACGGGCATACTCAAAGGCGTAAGTCAATCAATATATTGCACGTATAAGAAATACATTTGACCGAATCAATCCAAATCTCTACAGCTGCTGGAGAAGGACTATACGAAACGTATCGGGTCACAGTATAGTCCAGCTGGTGATATAGCAGATCATATATTCTTTAGGCCCATTGACTGGAACCAGCTCGAAAAGAGGCAAATCGAGCCGCCTTTCAAACCCCAAGTGGTACGTATACCCATTGATTTCTCGATGTGCATACATCAATATTTCTTTCCGGCTCTTCTTTGATAGAAACATCCGTTGGATACGCAATATTTCGATCGGGTATTTACCAGAGAACGCGTGCGTCTAACGCCCATCGATAAGGAAATACTCGCATCAATGGATCAGAAACAATTTCATGGCTTCACCTATACAAATCCGCACATCACATTGGACTAGGATGTCTAAGTATATATTAGTAGTCAATGTGCTGGCCATAGACCATATATATTTAGCATATTTATCTCTAATATTAGCTATACATATTCATGAACCTAACCTCCGGAGCCATAGCCCGATAATTACTTCATAGAGCAACAGTATTTGTATATGTATGTATATATATCTATTATATGATTCAATCAATATCTTTTTGTGTAAGTTTTTTTTTTTTTTAATAGATATATAGAAATGCGCATAAATAGGTTTACTTAAATGTATCAATGTGCAGATTCCTAGCTAAGTAAAGCTGAGCCAAGTATCGTCTCAGATCGATGTCTATATATGTATTGTATGTGTGTACTATGTGGAAATCGGAGTTGATTTTGGCTATTGCAGTTACAAAGCTACGAATACGTTTATAATGATAGTCACTTAGCAATATATAAATCTACATATAAGAACTTAACTGTATATACCATATATATATTTGTATGTATATATATAGCTATATTTTCAATATATATGGATATATATATATGAATCACATATTATAATCAAGCACCTTTTTTTTTTTTTTTTGATTAGCTCTATACCAAAGTCTAAGTATGTACTTGTTATGCTAAAATAAAAATTGAGAAAAACATGTAAATAATACAGATACAACGGGAAATCTATTATTTTCAAGCCGGGCATATCTTTAGAAATATTTATGTTCTTAGCGCTTAAAGCTACGTATTTAAAATTAGGAGCTGATATAGAATCGTAAGAATTATGCTCATATGCATTATAAGTCGATTTAGGTGTCTATATATGTATCTCTCACACTGATTCACACCATAATAAACATAACAGACTCTTACGGGCTGCATCTGAGGTATTCCCAGTTAAACTTGGCTATAATTGGAAGATGCATATCTCAAAGCCGTTAAAGTCTTCGAGATGGCCTAAACTGGTTTTCCTGTGTGCATTCTGTATGCAGTCAAAAGAGACATTTATGTTCATTTCTGTTTACATGCATCTCATTTAGGAATTAACTGAATGACTTGGCCGTTAGAGATGATAATGCGAATGATAATGGGCCAGCGAGAGTGTTCACCCCTACCCGAGTTCACTGTACCGTATTGCGAACCGATGCCAGTGAAAATAGTAGAATAGCTATAGCCACTGGCTAACCAGGGCCATTCATTCATTGTCAGCTGTGCTCCAGTGATCGGTGGACGCTTTTCCATCGGACGATTTGCATAAGCCATTGTTCGCCCCAGGCAGCATTTTCATGCAAATGAGCTGGGCCACAGCACCAGCACCAGCAACAGCACCAGCACCAGGTGACACACAAAACAGCAAACGGCAAACAAGAAGAACAATTTAAGCGAGAGTGTGCCCCAGTGAGGAGGGAGCGAGAGCCCTCGGCTTGGACGGTAGCAGCGCCATTTATGACCCCAACCAGGTTGAGAGCCAGTTGTGATGACCGGCTTCTGGGCAAAGACAAAAGCAGCGCCAGTTGAACATTAAAAGAATTATTCTTGTTAACTGTAGCATAAATCATTTATTAAACAGCTAAAGCCGCACATACACGCACGCACACACACATACACAGGCACATGCGACAATTTGTGTGTAGGCCATAAAAATGATAGAAGAAGTGAAATGTTAACAACAAACAACAACCAGCAGCAACAACAATAAACACAGTCAAGTTAGCTGTTATATTTTTATTTTCATTTCAAAGCTTAAAGTATTTAATGCACAGTGGTTCAAGATCTAGCGAATAGTGCACGATTACTAGCTGCATACGAGATGCATTATAGATAGATAGATATTTTCTTATCTATTTTTGTGTCTTTCGATATAGAGCTCTTCAAATAAAGTTTACTACATTGAATTTTATTTTCTTTGCCATGTAACATACATATACAGTATGTAAATTCGGTTAAATTTTGCAGCATGGCGCCTCACAGTATTTAAATATCGCCATTGCATTTTATTTGATAATCGATAGTCGTTAGAATTTATCGATCTGCGTTGCCCATTGATTTGCCAATAATTGCCAATTGCTCAAGAGAAAACCAAATAAGATGTAAAAAAAAATGTCAAAATAAATAATTAAAATCAGATATTTGTAAATTTCAGCTGGAAAATGTTTAATTTCAAAGCAGTAAACCACTGTGCGGTGGCTCGTTTCATAAAGCATGCGTCGGAATTTTCTCTAATTAATTCATTTCTTTGTGTGCGCCTGTGTATGTGAGTCGAGTGTATGCATGTATGTGAGAGCAAGCCCTGCTCTCTGGCGGTCTGCGGCGCAGTGCGTGGCTCGGTCAAAATCAGTTGGTGCAATGCCGGCCTAGAACGAGCTGCTTGACTCCATATTAGCTCCGTCATTAACTCTCATCATTATTTTGTTACGTTTTTTTTTCTGTTTGTTGTTTGTTTGCCTAATGTGCGCTGCAATTGGCGGTTAATAAACTGAAAAAGCTGAAAGGAAGACAAGTGTTGTAAAGGACTGCAATTAGTGAACATGTGCCAGCCCGCCGCAGCTTAGCGATGAATCTGATACTGCCACCACTGGCAGCTGCGCTGCGATTGCAGTTGTTGTTTTTGTTATTAGTGCTGCTGCTGATTTGCCGCTGGGAATTGGTGCTGCCGATACCGTTACCCCCCGTGCGTCGCAATATAATCAAGGTGCGTGCGAGTGGCTTCTTGCCATTCGAATCGGACCTGGTGCTGCCGTTGGGCATCCTGCGCCAGCTGCAAGCACAGGAGCGGATCTCGCGTGTGCTGCCGCCCGCTCGCTACGCCAAGCCGGTGCGCCGGAAAACGAAGCCAAAGGTCAAGCAACAGGTGCGCCTGGAGCGCGCCCACATGCGAGGAGGAGCCGACGCGGATGCAGGCATCCAGCTGTACAATCTGATCGACGACGATGGCGAGCTGCTGCTCAATCTGCGCGTGCACAGCGACACCAAGAGCAACAGTCACAGTCACGGCAAGAGCAACAACAACTTAGATGGGGACATGAGCGCGCCCTGGCGACCATCGAGATGGCGACCCACAACAAGCCTTCCGCTGATAACATCATCCTCGCCGCGCCCACTGCCTCTGCATCAGTATCTGAGCAGTGGGAATAGCGTGGAGCAGGCTCCCATGACGCAACAGCGACGCATGTTTGGAGCTCGTCCAGATTGGATCTACCACTGACAAGCGAACCCCATTTTTCATGAAAAATCTCTAATCTATTTTCAACAAACACCCACACACATTTGTCAAACACACCTTCATCAGCACACACACACACACATTTAGCTCTTATGTTATACTAAAGATAAACAAAATGATACATAAAAAAAAAAAAAAAAAAAAAGAAGAAGAAAAATCAACATTTTATGGGCTTATTAATCAGCTCGTTTAGCTCATAGCGCTTATGGTAATGGACTGACGAAACGAAGCCCAAACGAAAGTGGGTGGACCCAAAACCAGTTGCACTCCGTATGCAAATGACTAGCTAAAGCAGATCTGGGAATTACAATAATTCATATTGAATGTGAAATCTAAATGTGATGCATGCCCATTAATTAACTACAGTTAAATGATATATGCGATGCCTGGGTATTTGGTAACCCAATCCCCCAAATTGATGGCAAGCGGTAAATGTGTGAAGCTTAAATAAAATCAACATAAAACCAAGAAAATCTGTGGCGAACTAAGAAAACTGAGAGATGGAGAGAGAGAGAGAGAGAGAGAGAGAGAGAGATAGATATTGTAACTAGACTAGTAGATACTCTAAGCTTAGCATTCATGATATATGATATATATGCATATTATCTATAATATATGATACATGATAACCGATTTCTAGATTCATGGTTTTATTTATAGAATCTACATATCGGAACTATCATAATCTCAAATCTTATCATATCTTATTATATCATATTTATATGGTATATTATATGATTTCTTAGACTTTGATTAAAATCTAAAGAGGCTTTAACCTAGATTTCCATTGTGAAAAAGTTCTTAAAGTTTGAAATAGAGAACTATGCATAGAGACAAGTCTAATAGGGGCTTTTTTCTGATACACTAAGCTTGATTTAATTATCATCCATTAATAAACTTTATATTTCTAATTTTGTAAGGAAAATTTTGTTTTGAAATGAATAAATGGGGAATATACATGAAGTCTTTTCTTTCAGATATTTTGATAGACTTTCAGTTAACAATATAAAGCCACCAAATATTTAACTTCAGTTTCATTATACAGTCGACTCTTGTTATTTCAAACCTGCGTTATTTCGAACCTCTCATTAATTCAAAGTTATCACTCAGTAATTCGAACTAAAAATCATTGCTAAGACGCGGTAATTCGTACTCATATGGTTAAACACTCGACAATTCGAAATGTTTTAAGAGTCCCTTGAATTTCGAAATAACGAGAGTCGACTGTTAGCCAAACCATTTTCAATAGGAATAAACGGAAATAGAAAAAGATTTGGAAATTTTAAAATATAGTTAGATATTTCCCCTGGTAAGTTCAAAACTTGCTATTCGTAAACTCCAAACTCAAGAAGAAAGTACATATCATATTAAGCATTTTTTTCTAAATTTCAATATGTATATATTTTTCAACAGAAAAAAAAAATGTTTCTTAGGCTAATGAAAAAAAAATGGGGGGTGTTACTAAAACTATTTAACAAAGGAGGTCACAGTTATGACACAGTTCGAATCACAGATCAACTGGGCACAGTTGAGGAGATTACTTCCAGGCGCCGACGGGTGGCAGGTAGCCGGGCTGGGGAGCCGAGACAGCTGGGGGCAGGTACTCGTTGTGGACGGCAATGGGCGCTGGGGCGGCCTCTTCGTGAATGACCTTGACGGTCTTCACCTCCTGGTGGACGTGGCCGATGTCGTGACCGCTGCCATGGGAGTAGCCGCCAGCATAGCCGCTACCCTGATGGATGACCTTCACAGTCTTGACCTCTTGGTGGCCACCGAAACCGCCGCCATGCGAGAGGCCGTGATGCACAGCTGGTGCCTCCTCGTGGATGACCTTAACAGTCTTCACCTCCTGGTGGCCATGTCCGCCGCCATGGCTGAAGCCGCCAGCGTAGCCGCCGCCGCCCAGAGCCAGGCCGCCATCCTGGTGAATGACCTTTACAGTCTTGACCTCCTGGTGACCACCGAAACCGCCGCCATGGGAGAAGCCGTGATGCACAGCTGGTGCCTCCTCGTGGATGACCTTAACAGTCTTCACCTCCTGGTGGCCATGTCCGCCGCCATGGCTGAAGCCGCCAGCGTAGCCGCCGCCGCCCAGAGCTAATCCGCCATCCTGGTGAATGACCTTCACAGTTTTGACCTCCTGGTGACCACCGAAGCCGCCACCGTGGGAGAATCCGTGGTGAATTGCTGGTGCCTCCTCGTGAATAACCTTAACAGTCTTAACTTCCTGGTGACCATGGGAGAAGCCGCCAGCATAGCCGCCGCCGCCGCCCAGAGCCAATCCGCCATCCTGGTGAATGACCTTCACAGTCTTGACCTCCTGGTGACCACCGAAGCCGCCGCCATGAGAGAAGCCGTGATGCACAGCTGGTGCTTCCTGGTGGATCACCTTGATGGTCTTCACCTCCTGATGGTGTCCGCCGTGTCCGCCGTGCCCAAAGCCACCATGACCGCCATGGCTGCCTTCATGGATGACCTTCACCGTGCGCACCTCGGCGTGTCCATGGCCACCGCCGCTGCTACCGATGCCATAACTGTAACCGCCACCGCCGCCGCCGCCGCCACCGCCAATGATGCCGGCGGAACAGGTGGCAACAAGTGCGGCAAACAAACACACAAAGATCTGTGAAAGAGGAGCGAGCATTAGGGATGACCGCCCAATCCTGCCTGGAGCTAAGTCGGCTTACCTTCATTGCTGGAAGTTTCTTGCTTGGGACGAAATCTGTGGAACTTCACGTAGCTGAAGAATGCAACCGAAGAGGCAGGCAACTGATGATCATCTTCCAGCAGTCGCACGCTTATATACGCCGATCGCAATCATTATGCTGATACGTCTTCTTCTTCTTCCTCTTCAGCTACTACATCGTCGTGTCGTTGGCGTCAGCGTCATTGGCGTCGAATTTGTCGTTATCCGGTGCCTTGCCCAATGAGCCGTTGCTGCGGCTTTCGCCTGAGGCGGGCAGCGAAGATTCCGCTGTTTGCTTTCGTCATCGATGGCGCGGGCCCCCGAATCGGATTTAATGGTAGGGCAGCGGCGAGCCGAACTGTGAGCGGGGCAAATGGAGCACTAAATGGCTAAAATATTCAAATGAGACGAAAAAAAACCCGTTGACCAGCATTAAAAAAAAAAAATAAAAAACATAAACATTTAAGCTAAATAACCAAATCGCATCAGGCGTAAGCAAACCGGCGCGATTATCAAAGGTAGGTCATGTCATTGCCTGACCTCGACAGCATTTGCCTCAGATCCATCACTTTCTATGGCACCATTACAGTTCACTCAGCTCGATGTGCTCTGGGTCTGGGTCGAGCCCTAGACCCATCTGGCATTACGCAAGATCTCTTAAATACATGATAAACAGCTGATCTATAGCTCTCAACTGATGCCAAATGGTTTCTCTGTGCCATGTAGTAGGCCCTATGTTCTTAAAAGCTTCCAAGCTCATTAAAGCTCTAGTATATTAACAGTAAACTTCTTCTATGCTGAATAGGCCATCTATAGATCTATCATATTCGATCCCATTCTATGCCAAAACTATAAGATATCACTAAACTTAAAGGCCGCTTAAATCTGTATTTAGGCTTAAAAAGACGTAGCTCTCAACTGAGCTAGGTTGAAAACTCACTCCCTCAAAAAGGGCTTTCAATCCGTATTTACTTAGAAGTATTTGCACCAACTCAAAATCTCCGAAGCTTCTTAAAGCTACATTAAGATATAATTTTGTAAGCTCGAGCTAAATCAGGGATTATTTTGAAACTAATGAAATTGAGTAGTTTCGAATGCATTTCAAGTACATTTTAGGAACGAGATAAAACAAAGCTCCTATGCTCTTTATTCCATAAATATTTGATCTATGCTTCTATCTACACTTTTACATACATATCGACTGATATTATAAAAAAAAATTTTTGGTCTTTTTATGCAAAGCTAAAGCGTTCTTCATAGCTTACAATTTATTTAAAGCTGTACTAAATTTGCTCAATAATTCTGAAGTAATTCTTAGAATGAATGCTTATTTTCAGCTCTCAAAATTTCAGCTCATTATGAAGCAAGACTTTTGTTATACAAACTTTCAGTTTTATTTCAAGTTCTTAAGCCTCTTTTACATTAAACCGATTTCATGCGCTAAAAACGAATAATTCGCAATATCTATAGGCAAAATCTGACTTAAAGCTTCTTGGCTTCTCAAAGCTGTATTGAAGGCTAATATTTAGCTTTCAATTGTTATTATTATTCTAGCATAGCAAAGCTGTTCCTTAGCTCTGCCCGAAGAGGGCGCATCACACAATACTTTAGTGTAAAATACCTTACAAGAGTGAAATGACAAAAAAAAAAAAAAAAAAAAAAAAAAAAAAAACCAAGACCCACACAATAACAAATGCAATCAAGTCAACATATGTAAATTTTTCGGCTGCCATTTATTGCTTTTTTATTAATATTTTGCTTTTATTTCTAAGCTATGGTAGTATATATATTTTTTTTATTTTTTATTTTTTTTAAGCTCTCCCTGATACGTTTAAACTAAGTATAACACCCATAAACCAAGTTTTTTTATGCTCGTTTTTTTTTATAATTTTTTTTTTTTTTTGCTGGTTTTGGTATCAAATGGAAATCAGTTGTCAGATTTGAATTGGCCAACTCGGGTTTCGTTTGTGATTGTGTAAAAGCTTTTGCGAATTTTTGAATAGCCATTAAAAATGAAACCGCGGGCTGATATTTTTTTCAGGTCTTTTGCCGTAATAAAAAGAAAAAGTGTAAAAAAAACACAAAACTGGGGGGAAAACACACTTGTGAATGAGAAAACAATGTTAAATTGTGCTTTCAATGGACTAATCAATCAGCAAAGGTGTGAACTTGCTATACGAAGATCTGTAATAAAAGCCAATTTGATGTGGTTGACACATCAATTGGCAGCCGTGTGGATGGCTAAGAAACGGCATTTAAATAGAAACTAAACTGAAGAGATCAGCTTTACGTAAAGCTCATCTATGAGGCCTTAGCCCTAAAGCTATCCGCTCCGGTCAACAGATATCTACAAGGAGAGATAGAAGTAGAAAAAGCTTTGACACTTTTCGATAAGATATATACATATGTACATATATATAGTTATATGTATATCTATCAAGTTTGTATAATTCCAAAATTTTTCAAAACTTTTTACACAAAGTCTTTCAAATGTGCCAAGGCTAGAAGCTGGCAGTGCTATTATATAAATATAGTTAGTCTATACCAATTAGTGTTATATCTATATCAAAATCTCGGAAGATATGTTTTGATTTATTTCATGAAGGATCATCAATCAATCATTCTTATCAGATTGAGCCTGTTTCAGCTGAACGTTTTTGAACCTTTTCTAAGCTCAGCCCGACTATAGAATGTGGCTCAAAAAGTCTACGAGTTTTCAACTATATATGACCAAATAGCGTAAAGCATACATATATGCCATATATCATAATACAAAATATTCCAATATATATATATATTACGTATCACATCAGCTGAACTTTCACTTTGCTGCACTGAAATAGAATGAGATGGATTGCTACATAGACAAAGACAAAGATATCGCATGTGGTTTTTAGTTGTAGTTGTTTTTCATGTTTATCATCATCATCATCATCATCATCGTGATAATGGTGATCAGTATCTTCATTATTATAAACATCATCTTATCATCATCATTATCATCTTATCAATTCGTTTGTTCCAACGCCTTCTTTTAATTAAAAAAAAAAAAAAAAGAGTTCTACAAATATTCATTGATTGTTAACAAAAATGAAAAATTAAAGTATCATATGTATAAATATATATATATGTGTATTAAAAAAAAAAATTAAAGAAGGAATACCTTGTATCAGTATACTATATCCAGCGTATTAGACATTAAAGTTATACAAATATAATAATAATATTAACAACATTACAGTTATGCGTTATTAACTTTTTAGTGATAATGGTAAACATTATAAAGAATAAAAAATATATATATATATATTAATATGTTCATATGTATATCGTTTAGTGGATGCACATATGTTTATATATATATATATTTAATAATAATAAGTAGTATGTATAGGATGTAAAAATATAAACATCGTTCTCTCGCTCTTTTTCATACGATAATAAATATTAATGCTGATGACATATTTGTATTAAAGAAAATACTCGCGCATGTTATGTGGGTTGTGTGTGTATATGTATGTATGTATAATGTGTGTGTGTGTGTGTGTGTGTGTGTGTGTGTGTGTGTGTGTATGTGTGTTGAAGCTTAGATAGTATAAATATAAGTAGATTGTAGATTTAGGCGCAATTGCGCAGCCGTTGCGTAGGCAGTTGCAGAAGAGACGAGAAACCACCTACAAGCCGGCAATCACGCGATCGCACAGCTGTTGCGACTGTGGCTGGTTGGCGTCTTGCAGCGATTCCGACTTTTCGAGTTTTGCGTTAACGAATTGTAGCACTGTGACGTTGTCATGGCATACGACTTCAGTGTCGATTTAACGGAGGGCGGCAGGTGCAACGAATCGATGGCATAAACACTAGTGCGACGCACAATTGTCCGGCAGCAGAGCTCCTGCAGCGACAATACTGCAATTACACAAATACAAGTATTAACATAATATCATTCAGCCACAAATATAGCTTATTTGCCGTACCCTTATTGCTGCGCCAGATGTGCTCCATGCCATTGCGATGCAGCGCCATCCGGGCGAGTTCGCAAAACGATTCGCGTATATTGAAGTCGCAGAGTGGCGAGATTTCAAAGCAGGACATATTGTTGCGTGAGGCATAGGTTTCCGCCGTCTTGGCAGCCACCTGGCGCTTGTAGGCCAAATGTAAGCGATTGCCCACAAGCACCTTGGGTATGCCAGGCGCATGCTGTAGAATATATTCACATATTATTCATTGGTTAAGGCGTTTTGATTTGAGCACTCACCTCCTCGACCTCTTTGAGCCAGCGATCGATGCCATCGAAGCTCCATTTGTTTGTTATATCATACACTAAGATAATACCCTGAGCGCCGCGCGAATAGGAGCGTATTATGGTACAGAAACGACCCTGACCGGATGTATCCCAGATCTGTAGCTTAACCCGTTTGCCTTCCAGCAATATGGTTGTCGTTTTGTATGCTACCGTTTGCAATATGTGAGAGGTGCAATCTATATATGAGTTGGCTGTATGCCAGAGCCATAAATATAACAATGTTTGTCGGCCCACTTACCATTGCCACTGCAGAAGGGGCTTTCGGTTGACGGATCCTCCAGATTGGACAGTATTTCGTGTTTACCCACATCGCTGTCGCCAACCAGAAGCACCTTTAACAGATAATCGTAGTCTTTTGTCATGGTTCTCATATAGCTAACCGTGTTGCTCAACCTGCAACAATAACGAGACAAAAATTAAAAAAGCAGGTTAGTTACCATTTTTAACAAGCTAAAGAATGCGAGCCGAAGTTCTTGCAGTGCTTGTGGCCCGGGCTAACCGGTATGGTTGAGGGGGCGCTAGAAGGGAGAGAGGGCGGGCCGTAAACTGCGCCAGATAAGCGCGTACACAAACAGCGCAACAACAACAACAACAATCAGTACAGAAATCGCAAGGTGCCAAAGTCGAACCGGCAATTTTATTATTATTTTATTAGTTTTTTTTTGTTTTTTTGGTATGTGGGCAGAGTAACATTTATCTAGTGAGTCATTCAGCAGAGCCACACAGATACAAATAGATACAAACGTACACAGATGTGCATATGCAAATGGGCGTGAATATGCCAAAAACGAAAGCACGTACACACACATTCATATAAATATATATACATATATGTATTTATTAATATAGAATCCTACAGCCATTTCTGCCTTTTGCCGGTTTGCACCACCCTATGGTCAGCATGACTGTGTTTGATTCGACTTTTGGCTGGTGCCAGTCATTTGGGTGTGTTTTGTTTTGCACCGCAAGCGAGACGACAACAACAACAATGACGGCGAAAACAACAGCAGCAACACCAACACACACACTCGCACTCACTTTGTCTCACACACGGAAAAACAATGAGCAAATTATACAAACATTAAGACTGACACTCACAGACGGCAATATTATTATAGAGTAGTGTACGGCCGCAGCAGCTATTTAATGTTTACGCTCAACAATTGCATTTTTGTTTTGTTTTTGAAGTTTGCAAAAAAAATCAAACGAAAAGCACGGCGAACGTAAAAATTGCAGCACAAACGACAGAAACTTTTTTTACCCAAATACGCATATGCACATGCGAACAGGGTTGCAACCACATATCATCTATCGCCAATCTTGGGCTATCGATGGAATTCGCATGCTATCGATGTTTCT